TCCAAGCTCAAACATAACCTTCCCACAATCATCCATTCCACTTTTGAGCAACCCTGACTGGTGACTCATTTACTCCAACAGGTTTGGTGTTTTATTAATGGTCTCCATATTTATTGGACGCCGCCTGGAGAGCCAAGACATATCAAAATTTTTCTCTGCCTCTGACTCCGAAATTGGCACCTGCCCAATCCTTCTTATTTCAAAGCTGTAAACTGCTCTATAACATCCGATTGCAAGTTTTGGAGAAGTTGTTGTAAGAAGAGACGTTGGTGAATGGAGTGAAGAGGGAGCCAATACCACTTTCATTGTAGATTTAACTGGCTACATTTGCTTACTTGAGATTGCCAGTGTAGCAGGTTCTAGAGGAATACTACTTCTGATTACATTCTTATATAATACTATACAGTTCTATACAGTTCTATACAGTTCCGTACAGTTCCATACAGTACAAGGTGGACTTCAAGGACAGTCATGTCTCCTGTTCGTTCAATTTATGGCGTCCAGTTTCATGCATATTCAACTGCCAATATCTCCATCTCAGTCTAGCTCAAAATAACTACTGCCATTGTTTGTCAACAGTCCGTCAATCGGCACTTCTCATCCTACTGTCAGGATGGTATCTATTGGCAAAGGATACTAAATTGATATTTTCTATTACTGTTCACATTGAAGTGACATACTTTCATAAACCAACTGCATGTTTTATTCATTATTATTTGCTTCCCCAGGTTTATCGACATTGCGTTAGTCTTACTTTCCATTGCCACATGAAGTCTCAACACCCAGTTCCCAAATTATTGTAGAATGTGTATTAGTTGTATCTGCATCAATTCATCGTTTCAAGTGGAAAAGTCGTTCTGTTGGTAAGCTTGTTAGGGTATTTATTTACGGTGACTCTTGCGAAGTATATTTCGCCTCACTTTCCAAATGCCCCCAACTTTTGTTCTTCCTTTGGTGTTCAAGTATGGTACATGTGGCTCAGACAAGTTCGCACGCATGCGTCGTAATGGCGCTGCGCTTCTGTTCTGAAGAAACCCGGGGTACATTAATTCTGTTGGTGGAATACTACCCTCACCACGTACGAGAACAATCTTAGAATTGGATTTTAAAGCTTGTCTTAGTTTTCCCAGCACACTTGGGGGTGCATAAACATTCAAATAACTATCTTTGGTGTTGATGCTGTGTATAATAAGCAACCCCAAAAATTGGCCAACATTTCCAAGAACCGACTCAAGATTCTTAGATTTGACGAGGTTTGGATATAGTTTGTACTTGTTGTCCGACATTAAAGTGTCGTCACATGCCGACTCTGTGCTATATACTCCCCAGATCAGCGACGAAAGCAATATCGGAATATTATCAAAATCAAAATTGGCATCCACCTTGTAATTGAGAATCGAAACGCCATATATGCCACGGCCACAGGTTCCTATTATGTAGCTGATCCTTTCTGGTGGTGTACTCAAAAGATAATGACTAAAATCAAAATTGCCACTCCCCTTGTGGTGGAAGTACATGAGCTTGTTGTCTGTTCTGAGGTGGCTAGGAGAGCTAAGAGGCAATCGAAAAACGCCGGGTAATAGTTCTGCTGTAACATAATCCATGCTTTGCAATATGTTTTGGTTTTCTTCTGCCCCAATTGTTAAATTATTTGTCAAGACAACCAAATCAGAAGGGCTGACAATACTGGTCACTTTCTGCAAGAGTGTCTTGCCAAACCCCTTAATCCAGCCTGGAGTGTTTATGATTAGTCTCATGCCTTTGTGTTTGTATCTGAGAAGATAAATGGAGTATAGCTTCCTAGTGATTTCAAGATACCTGGTTGGTGCATCCATTGGGCTAGTAAAGCCGTAGTAGTCTTCGTATTTGTCAAATAAATAACCCGAGTTTGAACAGGACCCTGTTGGCATTTGGATACTCAAGGACATACAATAAGGTGATGAGTTATCTGACTGCCCTGGATCAAGATCCATAACCACCACTGACTGTTTTCTTTCGAAGCGTAAATACTCCAGCAAAGACTTGCAGAAAGTAGACTTGCCTGAATTTTTGTTTCCAATAACGATCAAATTGGCTGTTGATAATGCAGCAGTAGTCGTGAAGTAACTTACCCACGCATCATCCAAAAACAAGCCGCAGTTATTGGAGATTTCAATAACGATCTGGAACGTAAATCGTTGGAAGATATTGTCTGCATCCTTCCCTTCTGAGACCGGTTGGGATAATACAAAGTTGTGCTGCATGTCGTTAAATCCGGTATGGTAGTTGATTAACTTGATTCTAGCCAAGTCGTCCTTCGTTTGTGTCTCCGTAGATGCATTGGCAATAATGGGTAAAGCATGCGAATTTGTGGTGAAGAAAGTGTATACAAAATCACCCTCAGAATTTAATTCATAGCAGTTATTGATCCGTACAACTCCATGCAATACTTTAAGTTTGAACATCCCCTGAACCATTACGAAATCTCCACGTTCAAGTCTCACTGAAACGGAATCTTCCCCGAATTGCAAGTTCGTTTCGCTTGGGAGGAAATCTGATTGAAAAATGCTTTGTTTTGACAAAACAGGCATCGAGCTAGTGCTCTCCTTGACTGTTGATCCTACCTTGGTATCAAGGGATGATTCGTTGTAATCATCATCACTGCATTCGTCTTCTGAACCCTTTGCATACTGCAAAATATCATCATCTACATCCGAGGGTGTAGTTACAGAACCTGTTTCACCAAGGGCTTCAGCTTTTAAAGCTGCATATGCACTCATTCACTAAGATCACTTGTTATGGTTGCCATACCAATGAGTGAGTGTGTTATGTGTGGCAGAAGTAAAAAAAATTTTTCTGGTGTATGTGTATGCAGAAACCATTCAAACGAATGTAGGCAAATAATCTTCGTACTTGATCACCAATAATAGTAAAGGTTCCCTGCCGGATGTCTCAGACGGATAAGAACTTCATCTGAACTACGAGACTATGTCGAAGCAAGGCCCACCACATCTCATGTATATGTAAGCTGTATCACAACAATACTGCAATCTGCCTATGTCGTGAGAAATGACGTGTCGAAGTGCAAGTGTAGATAGTCATTGATAGTAGCAAATTATCTCAGGTTTATACGCTATTGATCAGTAGAATATGAAGTTGCATCTGCGACTAGAAAGGTGATTGCACTATACCACGGAAACAATTTATTTCGACATTTTCAATTGCAAGAAAAAATAATACTTTACTACATCACTATAAACTACGACCATAAACAATGCAAAATCTACTCTTCGTCGCTGTCATCGTCCTTATAGCCATGTTTCCTGATCTCTCCAAGTCTTCTTCTGGCTGCTTGGAGTTTGTTCTCAAGTTTTAAAATCTCCACTTGTTGTTCCATCTCAAGCGTCTTCCCTTCGTAAGGAGTCAATTTACTCAAGTCAATGTTATCACTTTGCTGCTCATCTTTATTCAATAGGCCTTGCACTTTGTTCACTAAAGACTTGCATGCGCGCGTGACATCACCAGAAGCTGATTCCAAAGCATCTTGCGATTTTGACATGAAATTAGCTTTGACTCTAGAAGCAGCAACCAATTGGGCCGTAGACGCAGCAACTTCATTTGATGCCACTATCAACTCTTCGTGAGTGTTTTTCTTCTGCAAAACACCATCTGAAATCTGAATTAATATGTTGGTTGCACCAGCTACTGCTTTTGCTGCACTGATAAGTCCCTCAGTCCATCTACTATTCTTCCTGTAAAATTCTGTATTTGACTGTGAACCCTTGCCTTTATTGACAATTTCACGTTGCGATTCCACTGAAGCTTGTATCAACCGTCCTACGGCATCAATTATCGCTTTTGCGCACGTTACCAAAGTTTCATGTATCTCGATGTTACCACCATATATGTTCGGGTTCTTCAACAAGTCCATCAAATACTTAGAAGCTGAGTTTACCGCATCTACCGTTTGTTGCATTTCCTTATTCACGAGACTCTCGAGATCACCTTTAAACTGGATACCACTGGACAGCTTCAATAAGTCCACCAAGCCCGCCAATTCTTTTAAGGAGGTCTGTAACTCAAGATTACTGTCTATTATCAGATCAATTCTATCGTCCTTGTCATCCAACTCTTCAAGCTTCTCTGATTTCAAGCCTTGATAATATTCCTCAGCATCATCAAGCACTTTTGTCGTTTGACCCAAAATTTTCTCTTCATCTACACCCAAAGAACCTTGTGAAAGGCTCTTTGCTGTCTGCATCAAATCATTCAAGTATGTGACTAACGATGAGCTGTAGAGAATTATATCGGAAAATGTTTCTTCGTCTTGATTGTTATCCTCGGCAATATATCCGTTAAACGTGGAAGCAAAGTCAGTGGCTGTATCAGAGCAAAGCTCAACAACCGACAACAAGTATTCTGCGGACACATTATTATTCACACCCGAGGTGTTTAATGTTAGTTCATGCTTGATGTCTAAAATGCGTCTAATACTGTTGTCCAAAAATATATCAATCAAACTTTTAAACTTGGAAACATGCGCCATAATGATGTGATCGATCTCTGCATTCAAAATATCATCTTGGTCGTCTTTAATGCGACCAATCTCTTTGTATGCTTCCTCTAGAGACTGATTAGCAATTGCCAATTCTGTTTCCTTCCCTTGTAATTGTACCTGCAAACCATCCATCGTTCCAGGCTCTCCATTTCTAGAATAGCGCTCCAATTGAGCCTTCAAGTCATTCAATTCCGCTTCGTGCTTTGACATGATTGTACTGAGATTCATGTTTTGGAGTTTACCTGATTCTTTGGCCGAAACGTTGAGGTCTCTGATTTCAGTCTCCAACTTTTCAATTTCTTGATCTTTCGAAGCTTTCACTCTGTCCAAATCAAGTCTTGCTCTGTCACGCTCTCTGATCAAGTCAGCTAACTCAATATTCTTAGCCTTCAAATCCTTTTCGAGTTTCTCCTTCTTGGCAATTGATTCCTGAGCACTGCCTATTTTTTGTTGGATCTTCTTGAATTTTGCCAACAAATTCAAATGTTCTTGGCGCAATTGCGAATACAACTTAGCAAGTGACTCATACTTTTTGGTCCAATTTGCTATCTGCTCCTCTAAATTTTGAATCTGCTCGTTCTTTGAAGCAATTTGTTGAGTAGCTGTGTTATTAAACGCCCCCATTTCATTCTCCAATGATTTGACTCTGGTGTCATATTGTTGCAACAACTGCTGGTCATTGTCGTATTGATTTTTGAACATGAGTAAATCGTGCTCCAACTCAGACACACGTCCATGTTGTTGCTGAGTTTGTTGCATTTGTAGAGCTTGCTGCTCTTCCATAAACCGTCTCTCTTGCTCTCTCTGTTGCTGTTCAAATAAACGTTGTTGCTCTTGTTGTTCCTGAAGCTGTTGCTGACGTTGCAATTCAAGCTGTCTTTGGATTCTCTCTTGTTCTTGCTGTTGCTCAAATAGATAACCTGTTTGTTGAGATTGAATCTGGTCTGTTGGAATCGAGGGTGGAACGCTAGGAGGCTCCACGTTGATAGATTCAGCTCTTGCAATGGTTTGTTCATCATTTCCAGCCGAGGTGCTTCTGGGTAAAGATCTTCCATCCTCGTCAACTTGCAAATCAGGAGAACTGTTTGGGAGGCGAGGAATTGTGATCAAACTCGTTAAAAACTTAATTGAATTGCAATCGGTGTAAAAGTCACGTAACATAAAGTGTTGCGATTCAAATCTATCAAATAAGACGGTCAACGCTTCATCTGCCCCTAACTGTTGGTACATTGCTCTGAGCATGGAAAGGCAAAATTTGTAAATTCCATATGACTCGGTGATCAATGGGACTAATGCGCTAACCTTGCATAAGTTTCCATGTGAGCGGTGTATGGTTGCAAATATGAGCCTTTGCAAGTCATTAATCAGGTCCTGAAGGTCCATTAATTGTAAGATGGATTCATATCCTTCATTTGGGTCGCTGACAGCTCTCAACGAAAGGTATTCCTCGTATTCAAATGTTCCATTGAAACCGGGATTGTTACGATGAAAATCCAACTTTTGTAAAATGTAGCGGTCGTACTGATTAATCAACCTACCATATGCCAGACCGTGAGTTGGAAATACTGTTGCCAACGAAGCAACAAAGTCCCGGTTGCGGTAGCCATCTTTAAGAGTGTTAGGATGACCCTCCTGCAAGACCTTATGTATCATGATAAGAGCTTTGAACAACAGGATCTCATTGCTTTGCAAAGGTTGAATCTTGACGGCATTCCAAAAAGCCCGGGAATTTTTATGGTCCCAGGTGTAGACTATACATGCCCTCACATGTTTTCTCTTTGGTGGAACTTCGTCATTGTTGCATGCTTTCTTCACACTACTTTGCAAATCCACTTCTGCACGACTCATAATTGATTTAGGTTGAAATTTGTTAGGTCAATGTTCGTCTGTGTGGAACGTTGATGATGTATTGGTGCAATTTGTTGTTTGGAAAGTTTATTGTTTGGTTCAGAATTACCTGTTGGGAAAAGTCAACGAATTTCTCGGACTCTTTAATTGCGACATTTTAATTTGCTCTCGGCTTTAAAGAGAAAAAGTCGCGGTAAGAGGAAAAATGGCACAGATATTTACTTCGCCTTCGTGGAGTGTGATCCTTACTTTCGTCTTACTTTCACGAGATCTTTAGCTTTTAATATAGCTCAGAGTAGCTGACAAGATCCTCGTTCATTGTAGAGCCACAGCTACAGATGTTATAACCTAGACCACTCTATACTTGATCAGTCCCTATAAAGAAAATATTTATACATTTCATGAAATACACAAACAGTTTAACCATCACTTCCTATACCTCGTCTTACCTAAATCAAACGGCAAGTATTTGTACTTGGTCATGTGTTGTATCTGCTTTCGCATGGTCAAAGCAAACAAGATTATAAAGTACATCAACAAAATTGGCCAAAACACAGGAATGTCAAAGATTGAAAAAAAGGTCAATACCAAACTCAACACAGTAGCTCTTGTAGCATTATACCAGAACTTGAATTCCGGTAATCTTCTAATAAATGGTCTGAATTCATCATCTTTAGACCCAGACTCATGTGCTTCTTGATCGACTCCCTCTTCAATAGATTCATTCTTCATCTCCTGCTCCAACGACGGATCAAACTTGGGCGTCAAAAAAGCTAAAAACAAATTCAACAAGTATATACCCAATGCGTAACAGATAATATACCATCCCTGAGCAAAGAAAATTCGTATCATAAACAAGGTGAGTAAAGCTCCGAACCCTATCCACCTGTAACCTGTGTGCGGCACAGATTCATCGACAAACTTTTTGTAGGTAACCAAAACCCTTCTATAATTCTGATACACGGGATTATCCACGGGGATTTCAAAAGGCAAGTCTAATGGCATCTTGTAATAAGTGGAATGGTTCTGAGTAAAGTCGGTTCTGGTGTATGCTTTTTTGTCTTTTTTTTTTTTTTTTTTTTTTTCGATTCTGTTGTCCTGTTCTTTTCAACGTCGTGTTTTTTGTGCTGTTACTATTTTGCGACATTGATATGATTGAAACTTTGGACTATTTACGAAATCTGCTACAATAGAACCAGTGTAAACAGAGTGGTGGCTGATTTCTCGTTGGGGGAGAGAGATAAACTGTGTACCTTAGTTGGCTTCTTTTACCAAAAGGGTTTTGACAGTGAAATAATTGCAAAAATACTTAAATTTTTGTTTTATTTTTAACTCGAAGAGATATTTTCTAAAACTATATAATTCTACGATGGTAATTCGCCAGAACATTCATCCTGGTACAATCTTAAAGCTTCTCTTATATGAGTGGGCTGAAGGGGTGAGCTGTGGTCACCTTGGTACAGTAATGGAGCTGGTTTCGTCTCACTCTCAGTTTGAATATTTTCAATGTCAGATCTTTTCTGGTTCTTCTTCTTCTCAATGTCCGACAATAGCGTGCCTTTGTTATCCCTATCTTGCACTTCAAAAGATTTACTTATTATCTCTGATATAAACAGCTTTGCTACACCTGCTACCACGGTTGCTATGACCTGGGAGACAGAATGTCCCACCACCCCGTTGCAGATCTTCTTTACCCCAGGTTTATTTATGGTCAGCCGCCTGTAGGCTTCGAACCTTTCCATTTGATCGTTGGTGAAGTTTGTAATGAGTAACCGCTTTTGCTCTTCTTCAGATAAGTTAACGTCAATAGCATTACTTTTCAAGTCTTTATATCGATCTGCCAACGCTGGATCTCCAAGCAGTAGTAAATCCTCCAGGCTAATTGAAAACAACTCTTCATTATCCGAATCTATCTCTTCCGCATCTGCCGGCTCCTCGTCAATCAGTTCACTTTGTTTTTGTCTGTTTGTGTGTTTCTCCAAATCACTAAAAAAGACTCTCCAAATCAATTCTTCGTCTTCCTCATCCAAACTGATGTCAGATAATGCATCTTCATTGGAAAGAATAGATGCACTTGTGTCGTAGTCGTTATGAGTATTGTGGTTCATTGGAGATGTAGATCTACCAGTATCTCTGTTGTTAACACTTTCTTACTCTTTTTTTTATCGCGAAAGCTTGGAGCGCTATTAGAACAAAAACCCAAAATAGACAAACTCAAACGTCCAACAAAACTTCGCGAAGAAAGTTGTTAGGTGTAGCAGGTGTCTATTCTTTTTACAAGAATCGGAAGGGACTACATTCCACTGTCGTTTGAAAATTAGTTCTTATAAACAGTTGGTAAATAATTAGTTTTGTTATACAGAGTTTACTATTTGTGTAGAGGAAATCCTGATCTCAAAAGCCGCTACCTTCGTGGCACTTTACCCCCTTTGTTTAGTCTCTGGACGACATTTATAATATTAAACTTTCTTGTGTATATCAAAGGCTCGACAGTAGCTTCAAAAATCTGTAATGTAAGATTTGGATGAGAAAACCCCATAACTCGATTGCAAAAGAAGCTCACAAGTCATAATCAGTGATTAATTATATGATCAGACCTAGATCGTCTACCTTCAGCTGGTATTTACTTGAAAAAAAAAAAAACAATTTTGCACTCAAAAAATTATCATTGTTGGCCGGTTTCTTGCTTTACTGTTTCAACGGTATTTCTAGTGGAGAATGGGCAGGTACAACAGCTACTAAGTGCTTCCGTAAGTTGATACTTTAAAGCGTGGTTCGGGTTAGCCATTAGCGAAGATCCGACAAGTTCGATACCAATGCTCTCGTTACCTGGTTTAAAGATTGTGATTCGATATCAGGTTTGAAATAAGACGATTGTGGTAAGCTCTGGAAAGACCCAAGGCAATGCAATGCGTTAGAATGTATGGACAGGTTTTGCTGAAATAAATGTCGTTCATGGTCGTTGAGTATCCCATAGTTTTCAATGCTAATCACAGATTGTAAATCCGTCGCCCACCTTTTCCTCTGTTCAATTAATGGAATAATAAATACCGTACAAAACGAGTGTAGTAAGATTTCGTCAACACATGTTGGTGGTATCTTTTGTTCTGAAAAATTACCATCTGTATATGCCCTATGCCCGGTGAGTATCGCTTGGAACATATGCAAAATCTGAAATCGGATAGTTCTGTTGTAATAAGCCCACGATTTTGATAAGACACGCCACATATCGAGAAGATCAGAACTTTTTTCTTCATTAGCACGACTTACAGCCCATACAGATTTAGACACATCATGTTTTAACCAACTTAAACAAGTAACAAATATCGTCGATAAATCTTGAATGAGTTCCCTTGACTCGTCCTCATCAAGATTTGTGAACACAATATGATTGCTGTGGGTTATACCACGGTCTTGGCTCTTTGAACTTGATTTATTCGCCTTCTGTTTATACCTCCCATGTTTTTGATTTGGCTCCAGCTTGACTGATTTGTTGAATTCCGCACTGAAATGGTTCCTTATTATTATTCCTATCTCCTCAAGGGAGTGTCCCAAGAACGGGTAAGCTGCAGCCGATGACGATTTTCTTTGTTTCGATGGTACAAATAATGGCTTCAAAAGCAAGCTTATTTGTTGATTTGATTTGTTCAATTTGGCTTCCTCGTCACTCGAGACGCCTGGTGGCCCATGTTCGTTTCTTTCAACGATGCCCAACCCCACCTCGTGTTGATGATGCCTGTTGAACTTGTTTTGAATGTACAGGTCAGCAGGAGTCAACATCTTCCTATGTATTTCAAGGAACGACGAATGTTCCGAGGATCCTTCATTGTCTTCATTAGGAATACCAGCACTTGTAAATTTGTAAACTCGAGCGAGCACTATATCATTTACGACCGAATTTGAATTGTTTGACGACAAATACACGGAAGACTTTGAAGAGCCCGAATACAATTTATCATCGGCATTTCTATCCCCAAATTTGGATAGCCCACTGGCAGATTGGGACTTGTGAAATAGGCTATGGAAGCCGGTCAGCGGGGAGGTCATTGCAGGTTTCTTTCCTCTCAATTCCTCGCTCGATTGTCTCTTTGCATACCTCTCATCAGTGGAGCTTGACTCTGCAGCAGAATCAAAAAACAGTTTATTTGTGGGGCTTAAAATCTTTTTTGCTGCTCTCAACTTTGCAATCTTTGTTTCTTTCTGGGGTCCGTTGTCATTCAACTCATTCATCGAATCCGAAGAACTCGCAATCTCCCCTTCATAATTTTTACCAGTAACATTTGTCTGGGATTTATTTCGAGTGAATAGCTTGATCAATGGATTCGACTTGACTGTTGAGTTACTAAATGTAGATACTTGTGACACGTTAGTTCCGATCTTCTTCAACGTGCCGAATTCCACATTGGAAATCAGTGATGAGCTTTGGTCGCCACCGAGCCCGTTATTTTCTCGTAATTCAGTATCATTTTTATTCGAGTGAATATTTATATCAGTGTTTCTCATGGATCTAAAAATAGTGCATGTCCCTAAGCACTGGGTAAAAATTTAGCAAAGTGGAAACTCAAGTCCTAATCATTCCGTTTCAACTTTGCACTTTTGTTGTAATGTCGCAACTGGAAATAGCTTGACACTAAATTGAGACATTAATTTTTCTTTCCCTTTTTGTTATTGCACGCTGTTCTGGTCAACTTAACGAAGCTTGAAAGAAGCTGAAGCTTCAACAAAAAGGTACCTTTTTGTTTCTTTTCTTTCTATTACATAAACTCCAATAACATAACTGGCTTCATTTCTTTTGAACATGACCTTGCATCAAAAGTTTCTAGTACTTTCTTTTGCTGTAATATTGTTGCAAAATGTTGTGAGATCCATTTAACAAACCTTTTAGAAATCTCTGTTTTCATAGATATATCTCAAACAATCAAAACATATAACCTACTCTGGCTGTCAAAACAAATTCTTCCAAGGGTATTGAATGGCTGCTGCCACTCAAGCTTTCCTCTTATAAAAATAACCGAGAATATTGTTACAGGGAATGGCCCTGGCCTGCAGTTTTAAAACTCCACTAGTTTCCAAAAACTTAAACTCTATGAGATTAACCTGTAGCGGGAACCAAAAAAGGGACCATGATTACTAGCTTAAAATATTAAAAGGTCTAAACCTTTCGCCAAAATGCCTGGTATCGTTTCAAATTTGCAGTCTTTAAGTTTTGTGTCACCAAATAAGATGTTTTTTGTTTTTTGTTTTTTTTTGTTTTTTGTTTTTGTTTTGATTTGTACCCATTTGGGAATAATGTTTGAGTCCAAGACCCAAACCAAAATTATATGGACAATTAAATGATGTTATAAGGAACGTAAGCAGCGACGCAATTACAAACTATTTCCTTTTCCCTCTTCCATTTCTTGTTTTTCTTTGCTTTTTTATTTTACGTACTCATTAATCAAATATGATGAACCCATTTGATGATGATGCTGATGAGCAGAAGGGTCACTCCATAAAACTACCGTATGCTGCTTACACGCGAAGTACAAGCCCAACAAAGAGGTATCAACCATTGGACTATGACAGCGAAGAGGATATATCTGAAGGTTTTATTGGGTTTCCAGCCTCAGAGATCAAACAGACTCGCGAAGGGGGAATCAAACAATCACCAAATATCTTCTCGAGAAGCACCGGGACAGCTGGCTACCAAGACAAAACTACCAAGTCCCCATTTGTTGGTAATGCACCTAAATTGGAGTTTGATCCTAATATGGATATCGATTCCACGCCTAGAGCACAGTATACTTCACGCGAATCACCAAAGAGGCAGAGAAATACTGAGGTTTTGATTGATGACAAAGACGATGTATACGATGGGTCTCCATTGAGAAATTCTTTCAGAGGGAGTGAAATCAGCAGTCAAAGATACTTGGATCCCCCGCAACCAATATTCTCACCTGGTGCACTTTATGAAGCTGGCCACTACACCGACGATCAAAGCACGTATTGCGGCGAGGAGAAAAAGTTCGGCATGGATGATGCAAAGGAAGAGAGTAGAGAGGATGCGAAATCTTTGTACTCCGAATCTACAGCATACACCGGATACTCACATGTGTCTGATCCGAATGATGAAGCTCAATATTTTACCGAATCAATCGATGGTAACCTCATGCAAAACATCGACGCAGTGTATGATCCTCATAGGGAAAAAACCGTCACACGCAGGAAAGTAAGACTTGTCGGTGGCAAGAAGGGGAATTTAGTTTTGGAAAATCCCGTGCCAGGTGAATTACGCAAGGTCTTGACTCGAACGGAGTCGCCATTTGGAGAATTCACAAATATGTCATATACAGCATGTACTTCGAACCCCGATACATTTATTGAAGAAGGGTTTACATTGAGAGCTGCAAAGTATGGAAGAGAAACAGAGATTGTAATTTGCATCACCATGTACAACGAGGATGAATTTGCGTTCGCTAGAACTATGCATGGGGTAATGAAAAATGTTGCTCATTTATGTTCCAGACGTAAATCTAAAGTTTGGGGAAAAGATAGTTGGAAGAAAATTCAAGTGATAATTGTGGCAGATGGTAGGAATAAAGTTAATGAATCAGTGCTACAATTACTCACAGCAACGGGATGCTATCAGGATAACTTAACGAGGCCATACGTCAATAATAAGCAAGTGAAGGCACACTTGTTTGAGTACACCACCCAGATATCCATTGACGAGCAGTTAAAGTTTAAAGGTGATGAAAAAAACTTGACCCCAGTTCAAGTCTTGTTCTGCTTAAAAGAGCAAAATCAGAAGAAAATTAACTCACACAGATGGCTATTTAATGCATTTTGTCCCGTATTAGACCCAAATGTGATAGTTCTTCTTGACGTGGGGACAAAGCCAGACAATCATGCCGTTTATAATTTATGGAAAGCGTTTGACAAAGACTCAAATGTTGCAGGTGCAGCAGGTGAGATCAAGGCAATGAAGGGCAAGGGCTGGAGAAACTTAATTAACCCTTTGGTTGCTTCTCAAAATTTTGAGTACAAGCTATCGAATATTCTTGACAAGCCACTAGAGTCTCTATTCGGGTACATATCTGTCCTTCCAGGTGCTTTATCAGCATACCGCTACATCGCTTTGAAAAATCACGAAGATGGCACGGGGCCATTGGCTTCATACTTTAAAGGAGAAGATTTACTAAAGTCTCATGAAAAAGACAAAGAGAATACCAAAACAAACTTCTTTGAAGCAAATATGTATTTGGCGGAGGACAGAATTTTGTGTTGGGAACTTGTATCAAAAAAGGGTGATAACTGGGTTTTGAAATTCGTCAAGCTGGCCACAGGGGAAACTGACGTACCGGAAAGTATCTCTGAATTTTTATCCCAGAGAAGACGCTGGATTAATGGTGCATTTTTTGCAGCGTTGTACTCATTATATCATGGAAAAAAAGTTTGGTATACAGACCATTCGTTTGCGAGAAAGTTTTGGCTAAACGTTGAATTTTTGTACCAGACGGTGAATTTAGTGTTTTCATTTTTTTCGTTGAGCAACTTCTACTTGACTTATTACTTTCTTACTGGCTCACTTGTGTCGTACAAGCACATAGGTCACAATGGAGGGTTCTGGATCTTCACTTTGTTCAATTATCTATGCATCTGCGTGTTGACGTCGTTATTCATTGCTTCCATCGGAAACCGACCCCACGCTTCGAAGAACATATTTAAAGTTCTTATAATCTTGCTAACTGTTTGCGCATTGTATGCGTTAATTGTTGGATTAGTTTTTGTTATCAAAACAATAGACCAATTTGGCCTGGGAGACACGTCGTCCTACGTTTTGGTAAGTATTGTGGTTTCGCTACTTTCCACCTATGGGTTATACACATTGATGTCAATATTGTACCTAGATCCATGGCATATGTTGACTTGTGCCGTACAATACTTCTTATTGATTCCAGCTTATACTTGCACGTTGCAAATATATGCATTTTGCAATACCCACGATGTTTCATGGGGTACAAAGGGGGATAACAACCCGGACGATGACAAAAGTAACCAATACATCATCGAGCAGAATGCACAGGGTGAGTACGAGGCAGTTGTGATGGATGTAAATATCGACGAGGTCTACCTCGAGACATTATATAACATAAGGGCAAACAGGTCGGGCAAAAAATTGAATAAGAAGAAGGCCACCAAACACGTCTTAGACGGGGATGACTACGCCAAAGATGTTCGAACAAAAGTGGTGCTTTTTTGGATGTTGGCCAATTTAATCTTTATCATGACTATGGTTCAAGTTTACGAGCCTGGAGATACAGCTCAAAACATTTATCTTGCATTTATTTTATGGACAGTTGCCGCTTTATCACTCTTCAGAGCTGTAGGTTCTTGTGGATATTTACTTCAAGATTACGCTCGTAGCTTGGTTGAAATTTCTAGCAAATGGAAAAACAAAAGAGCAGGCTATAACCAAACCAATAATAACCCCTTAAATAATTAGCTTAAATAAATTTGAAGCGTAAAGCTGGTGTCGTTTTCTTTTGTATCTTGATAGTAGGCGTTCAATTGCTTTTTGGCACTCCTTCTAAAGCCAAAGCAATGGAGCATTCAGAACAAGCTTTGGGATCGATAGTCTTTTTATAGAATAATGAGAGTTTGACTTGCTGAATGTGGAAGCAAAGGTCATTGTTTTCCTCGTGTACCAGTTTGTGGCCGAATATTGATCGAGTTTGTCTTTGATGTGTTTGGTTGATTTTGATTTTTATAGAAAAGTCGGCTCACCAAAAGAAAATAACCGATCTTCAACATCAAAAAGAGCATTAAATCAAGCTGTATCAGAGTACGGTTATTATCTACATCTTACGAGCTTAGTAATTTGGTGTTAGGGGCTACACATAAATGGATCACTTTGAACTTCACTTGGCACGAACAAAAGAGAGCACACAGCTATAGGCGGACGTGAAAGCAAAATACCACTTGGACAGACTGAGATCGATTACATTGCATTGCAACTGCACAATAGAAGAAGAAGCTGACTCGACAGGATCCACGACACTTGTGATTTATGATAAATAGCACATTCATCTTAAAATCGCCTTGCACCTGTGCTTGTCAAAAGTGTCCTCTGTGCAATCAGTTGTTCTACTCATATAGCACGCAAAATCTCCACTCCATGCTATGGCACGACAAGATCCTAGCAAGTAGTACTACTCCACTACCTCGTTTACCAATGCCTGGTATAGTATTCTCTTTTGTATGCCTTGAAATTATCACTTTACTATCTGACACTCTTTTTCGCAGCAATCCCCTCTAAGAGCTTATACACCATACTACGTTCCTATAGTCATTTCCTCCTTCTGGAGTCACTTAGAGGGTGCGCACTTGGTACAGGAGACACAATCAGTTCTTCATCAGGTTGCTTGAGCGATGCATTAAAGCGCTTCCAAGAGAGCCGGGACATGTCAAAATTCTTCAGTTGGACTTTAATTTCCGAAATATCATCTGTTCGTGATGCAATTTAGTATTCAGTAAAGTAGCTCTGTATAGATCAGAAATAGAGTTGTAGACATGGTCTCGTAGACGATTAGCAACCACTACTCCCCAATTCACTAACAACAAAGTGGTAACAATGGGGTATGGTATTGTTCGACAAGACCAGGAAGAAGGCTTATGCAGAGAGAGACAGAGAGAGAGAGAGAGAGAGAGAGAATAAGCTGTATGCAGAGAACACTTGAACTGAACCCGATCGCCGCAAGTTTTTAAAGTGACCAACGAATGCCATCTGATTCGCTACGAAACAAGCCGACAATAACTCTGCAAGTTTTAAAACCTTTAAGCCCCATTAAATCAATGTCCTCATTGGTTGGTTTGATAGTTTTTATTGTCTCTTCTGTCAACAGCAACACAAAACAAAAAGATAAAACGAAAAAAAAAGGAAAGAAAAGAAAAGAAGAGATTGATCAATGTATGCCTTTAAACTCCTTATTCGCATATATCTTTATCAGATTCCATGAAAAAAGTGTGTTCAAGAAAGGAATGAGCCCCCTCTTAATAACAAGCAGTTATAGTGTTGTTGAAAGTGAGTTGTCATAACTTTTAAATCACCTGTACACAAAAACTGTGAGTGGATCCCGCCTTAGACAATAATATTTCTAATGGTTTTGTTTTGATTAATCAGATAAAAAGTAGCGAATTAAAAAAAATTAAAATTAGATTGGAAGGGGAGAGGGTAGTGTAACAATGTTCAAATAATTTAATCAAATTGGAATACAAACAATAGATGTCAATAATTTACCAAAAGTACACTACAAATGTACATAATAAAACGAGGCTTTTTTAACAATAATACAATACAATACAATAATACAAACAACAACAGTTTATACAAATTTAAAGCCTTCCTTTCTCTCTTTCCTACTTGTTAAATTATCCAGAACAATATAAATAGATTGAAACATTTCCTTCGTCTTCTCTTTTCTATCTCCTATCCTTTTTTCTTTTTTCTTTTTTCTTCTTCTTCTTCTTCTTCTTTACCGAAACATTAACCCCCCCTCCCCCCCACACACAACCACGTCTGTTTGAGAAGTCTAAAATCATACTTTTATTTTTCTTTTTTTATTTTCTTTGTTTTTGCAACTCATCACGTGATTTATTACAACAACACCACCACCACACCCTCATCTTTAATAAAGTGTATCAACCATGGTGAATGTTTTCAACGTCCAGATTTTCTTTATCGTTTTCAGAGAGTGTTTGGAAGCGGTTGTCGTCGTTTCTGTTTTATTGGCATTCTTGAAACAAGGTATCGGTAAAGCCACAGATGACCCCAAAGTTTATAAAAAGTTACGAAATCAAGTTTGGTATGGAGCAGGGCTAGGTGTCATTATTTGTCTTATTATTGGTGCTATTTTCATTGCGTTGTTCTATACCTTGGGTAATGATATCTGGTCTTCCTCGGAAGATTTATGGGAAGGTATTTTCTGTATTATTGCTACTGTCTTGATTTCATTGATGGGTGTTGCCATGTTGCGTATCAATAAGATGAAAGAGAAATGGAGAGTCAAGTTGGCCCAAGCATTGACAAAGGTTCCCGATAAGAAGAAAGACAGATTCAAGATTGGTTACTTGACTAAAAAGTACTGTATGTTCATTTTGCCATGTATCACCTGTCTTAGAGAAGGTTTGGAAGCCATTGTTTTCGTAGGTGGTGTTGGATTGAACTCACCAGCTACTGCCTTTCCAATCCCAGTCATTTGTGGTTTGATCGCTGGTATTGTTGTTGGTGGGATTTTGTATTACTCTGGTTCGACAGTTTCTTTGCAAGTATTCTTGATCATTTCCACGGGTATTTTGTACTTGATCGCAGCCGGTTTGTTTTCAAGAGGTATTTGGTACTTTGAGTCCCATGTGTTTAACAACCAAACTGGTGGTGATGCTTCGGAGAATGGATCTGGTCCAGGTACTTACGACATTGCCAAGACAGTGTGGCACGTCAATTGCTGCAACCCAGAAATAGACAATGGTTGGGATGTGTTCAATGCACTTTTGGGTTGGCAAAACACTGCCACTTATGGCTCGGTCCTTTCATACAATATGTATTGGCTTGCAGTGATTGTCGCTTTGTTCTTGATGCTTTATGAAGAAAAATTTGGCCACTTGCCTTTCTTGAAAGGTATTACTTTGCGTTCATTGAATCCAATGTATCACATCAAGAACAAGAAGAAGCATGAGTTATCAGCAGAGGAGAAAGAAAAATTGTTCAATGATTTGAGGAATACGAGATTTGGAGTAGATGACGAAGAGGAAGAAAGAAACGGTGAAGCTATTGCCGGAGATTCTGATGATGTTGACGAGGTCAAGAATGAAACTGTTAGAGTAAGTGGAGAAAAGGGAGAACACAAGATAAGCGGAACTGCTTAGTTTACACACACACACACACACACACACAAAAAGTGAAATATGCTTAAAGTATATTTTAAACGAGTGGTTCAACTTACGTTGTTAGTTCCTTTTCATTCTTTTCTTCAGTGAATATGCTAGTCTGTATCGGTTCTGCTGACTAGCATTTTTCGTTTTTACTTGCCTATTTTTATGTGTGTTTTATTGCAGGACGGGGGATCGGGGGGTTCGGTCGTCCACAACACTTTTTTTAAATTAAATCTTTTTATAAATATATAGTCTTTTAATACATTTCCGGGATTTATAATGTGTCATCATTATTGGAGCTCTATCAATCTATTGACAACAACATGGCCATCTACCTTTCGTATCCATCACTATCTAATTAAGTACACACTCCCTTATTTTTGTTAGAGTGTTTGAACATGTCTTTCAAGATGGGGCCAGTTTTGCCAACGAAAACAAAGGTAACTAAAGATCAAATCTACAGATCATTGATTCATTGATATGATTCGGAAATAACAGATCTTGGTTTCCCATACTTATTGGAGCTAAAATTGAAATTTCACTGTATATTAGAAACTTCTAGGTTAGAAAAGTAGTATATAGGATTAAGAGATCATCTACAAATAATATCTTGTTATAAAACACTATAACAGCAAATTTACGTGTATTTTAACTTTTGAACCTCAATTGGGTTTGTAAACCCACATTGAGATCATTGATTTCATGCAATTCCCTCTTCGACAATATGCTGATGTTGATGCTTTGTGACAAAGTTATCACGTGTCCTATTAAATTCTCAAATGAGTTTGGCGTACCAAAAGCCTTTCTTTCCAAGCAAACCTCAATAGCCTTCTTCTCAAAGTGTAAAGAAAGATACTCAAAAGGAATGCTATGTACGCAACCTCAAATGGATTTTATTTCTTTGTTCCCTCTAATTGTTTCCTGTCTCTTTCAGCTTCCAATTCTGAAATGATGCAAACACCACCACCTTCCAAAATATTCCCATTTAGTCATCATCAAAACACACGAGCTCACCACCTTAGGTCCTCCGAAACCATATTCGCATAAGTGCGGGAATGTCCCATGACCAGATTTAAAGCGAGTATCAAAGTAGCCGCCCGACTTGAAAACCTTCTTCAAGTTCACCTCGAAGCCAACAGGACAATTATGCGTCACGTTGGGACTCACATCCCTAGTTCCACAATGAAGACGCATCCCACAGGCGCTCTTTGGGCCTTAAAAGGAGAAAAAAGGTTTTATGTTGAGTATTTTATGCTTGATTCGTGAAACAGAGAAATAGTTGATCATGAGGTGATTGTTGACCGTAGAAATGGTGGATGATTTATTGTGAAGTAGATTTAGACAATAAGGGTAAAAATCGAATGGTAATGTGATTGGAAAACTGACCGAAATAATTCAAAACAAAAGAAGGGAATCTTGTGGTTTATATAGATTTGATATAAATTTAATTTTGATATGCTTTGGATGTGTTTATTTTGCAACTAAAAAAACCTAATTGTAAAAAGTGGTAGACACGACTATTCGATGCATTTTGTTAGAACTTATTCCCCATATTGAACTGCTTCTTTGTAGATTTGAGAATGATGTTCCTGATTAGATACGATTGTCATGATTTGCAGTTAATAAATCATATCAGACCGATCTCTTTCTACTTTGAGGTATGATCAGAGGACCTCATTAATTTCATCTAAATTAGGATTAAATTGTTCATTGAAGGGTAATAACAAACTATTTACAAGCAATAAGTGTCTTGGTTCTTGTATTTTATCTTTTGCAGAGATCTAGCAAAATGGATAGGTGATATTGTGTCAACGTATGATGTGGTAGTTTGTTGAATGGGATATTGACAACAATTGAAGATTATCGTCTTTGCTCAATTTGTTCCCATCCCCATCAAATGTATATCGTATATCCTTAATGCACCGGTAAAAAGCATCGATTCCTATTCTAGCCTCCAAAAATCAATTCTATGTACAAATGCTTCCAACAAACACTCTCATTGACTTTGTGCAAAGCTATCAACTTTCTTTGCAACTTCCAAATACTTAGCCTTGGCCGAACCAAATTCACCATAGTTTAGTTCTCCTCTTCTATATTGGAGCCTGATATTGTAAAGTTCATCATAAGTCACTTGGGATTGAGCAATGGATAATTCTTGTCCAAGTTCGATAAACTGAGAAATTTTAAACAATCTTTCAGCCGCCCTTTCTTTCTCCTGTTCTGATAATTCCACAGATGCATCTTCATCTAAGCGGGCTTTGTGGTCCCTTAATTGTCTCTTTCGAAGCAGATACTGCTTATTTTGGGCCTTTTGCAACAGTGGTAACGCAAGTATTTCCTTTCTAGACTTTTGCGCCTCTTCGTTTTTAGCAGCAACAGGGTCCTCAATCGGTGTGTATCCAAATCTCCTCAATCTTGGAGCAAAATGTTCTTTTGGAAGTCTTGCATCTTTTTTCAATGCCACTCCTACGTATTTTCTTAATGGGTGAAATGGGTCAAAATAAAACCGAACAAAACCAGGCTCGATGGCATATATCGTGTGATCAACACCAATACGGACATTCTCACCAGGATGTATCTTTGTACCCCTCTGTCTCATTATGATTTGGCCAGGTTTTACGGGATGTCCTTCATTAACTTTGGGTCCTAATCTTCTACCAGCAGAGTCCTTGTTGTTTGTCTTTGATCCTGACACTCGCTTTGTGGCAGTACGAATCTGGGTTATGGATTTAATAGAGTTGGTGATTCCTGCAACAGGTCTCCCTATGAGGAAGTTCTTCAAGGATAACATAGTGAAGCGGGTGTGTTTCAAATATTAATGGTTTGGCCAAAAGATCAAAAATTTTTCGTTTTTCGTTTTTTTTTTTTCGCTTTTTGTTATATTTTTTTTGTTCACTTTACCTTTTGTCATGTAATGTGCATTACCAAACTAATGAACTCAGGGTCATTTACAACTTAAAATCAAATGCTCTTCAACTACAACGTACGATGGCGAGATTTATATATTTCCTTCTATATCTAAATTCATTCTAAGAAATGGCAGCAGACTCAGTCTTGAGATTTAGCTATATACTTTTGCAATATTTGCAAAGCAAGCAAATGGTCCTCCTCTTGAGCCAACCCACTGATAGTTAAAGCGCCAACAATAAACTCATTCGACACGACGCGCAATGGTACACTTCCTCCATGCGATGCAAATTCTTTTGAGGATACAAACATGGCCTCTTCTATTGATTTACCTTTCTGTCTGAGCTTCTGTCCAATGTAAAAACTCGATTTTCCAAATCTGAATACGGTGTTGTATTTTCTTTTGACCCAGTTGTCGTTATCATAAGCCGTTCCTGACGACACAGCAGAATGGAACAATGTTTGTCCACTAGTTAAGGTTATATCAATGACAATGGCCTTGCTAGAGTGCAACTCTTGAGACAATTGGCGTCCCAAAGAACCCAATTCCCAAGCAACTTCACTATTGAACGATTTGAGTACGTGCTTTTCTTCGAGCTTCGAGAGTTCTTGTAATGATTTACTGTAAATTTCATGCGTCATAGCGTCTTTTTTGTTCAGGGTGTTGTATGCTTTCAACAAAGAAAACAAGAGAGTGTTTGGTAGTTAGGTCGCAGTTGTAGCCAAAAGAAGAAGAAAAATCGAAAATCAAAAAAAAAAAAAACAGAAAACCGAAATTTTTAAAGAATAAGTTATACAACTTAACCCAAAGCACAATTTATCAACAACAACAACAGCAACAACAGCAACAACAACAACAGCAACAACAACAACAGCAACAGCAACAGCAGCAACAACAGCAGCAACAATAACGACTAGCTGATGTATGCAACTCCACCACAAGCAAGAACGGTTCCGGTTTCCGTAAACAATCCACATCTTGAAGGTCCACAAAATAGCCTGATAGGAAACGCCTTAAATGATGAACAGATATATCAATGGATAAACGAGTTAGTCACAGGAAATAATCGAGAGAAGGCATTACTAGAATTGGGGAAAAAAAGAGAGCAATACGATGATCTAGCTTTGGTTCTTTGGAACTCCTTTGGTGTAATAACTGTGTTACTAGAGGAGATTATTAGTGTATATCCATTTTTGGATCCACCCAATTTAAGTGCTTCAACTTCCAATAGAGTGTGCAATGCTCTTGCATTGTTACAATGTGTGGCATCAAATGTCCAAACGAGAGGGTTATTTTTGAAAGCTAATTTGCCATTGTACTTGTACCCATTCTTGTCCACCAATGCGCGTCAAAGATCATTTGAATATCTAAGGCTTACAAGTTTGGGCGTTATTGGAGCTTTAGTCAAAAATGACACGCCGGAAGTTATCAATTTTCTCTTAACGACTGAAATCGTTCCCTTGTGCTTGAATATAATGGAAATTTCGTCAGAATTGTCCAAGACAGTTGCCATCTTTATTCTACAAAAAATATTACTTGATGATCAAGGGTTGAGTTATATTTGTACAACATTTGAACGGTTTCACACAGTGGCATCTGTCTTGTCTAAAATGATTGAACAGTTGGCTGCATTAACCATTTCTGGCGCCAATGGCAAGCCTATCACCGGACAAGGACAAGCATCGTCTAATAGCTCAGGAAGGTTGTTGAAACACGTGGTGAGGTGCTATATGCGACTTTCCGATAATCTTGAGGCCAGAAAAGCGTTGGCAAACATTTTACCTGAGCCATTGCGAGATGGCACATTTTCATCGATATTGCAGGATGATGTTGCAACAAAGAGATGCTTGGCTCAGTTGTTGACTAATATAAATGAGCAGTAAAGAGAGAGGGGAAGAGAAGAAGTTTGATAGAAGTAAATACTCTACGAGAATGGAAAAAAGTAATTGGATTTCATTTTGTATTGTGTATTTCAGTCAAAGGCTGTATTATTAGTGGTACATACTAAACAATCATTCAGCGACTGCATCTTTCCCTTTATTTAGATTCCTTAACGTCCAATGGAGTTAACCTCAAGTATGGTTTGATAATTCTAAACTTTGGGAAAAGAGTCTTTGCTTCCTCGTTGGAGACAGATGGGTGAACAATGACATCATCACCTGGAACCCAGTTAATAGGAGTAGTGACTCTGTACTTGTCACCGGTTTGTAAAGAGTCAATTACTCTCAAAACTTCAGCAGTATTTCTACCGGTAGATGCTGGGTAAGCCAAAGTCAAACGAATCTTCTTGCTTGGGTCAATGACAAAGACCGATCTAATGGTGAATTGAACACCCTTGTTATCAACATTGGTGGCATCTTGGTAATCAATCATGTCGTACAAGTGAGCAATTTTTCTTTCTGGATCAGCAATGATTGGGAAATTCAATTTTGAGCCAGTGACATCATCAATATCCTTAATCCAAGCCTTGTGAGAATCAGAATTGTTTGCTGACAAACCAATCAACTTGACATTCCTCTTGGCAAATTCTGGCTCCAATTTGGCAAAAGCACCCAATTCAGTAGTACAAACAGGGGTAAAGTCATCTGGGTGACTAAACAAAACAGCCCAGGAGTCACCAATGTAGTCATGGAATGAGATTGGTCCATTGGAAGTTTCAGCTTGGAAATCTGGAGCAGTAGATCCTAATCTAAGTGTATTTGATTCTGGCATATTTCGAAATTGTTATTATATATATATATATAGACAATTGACAATTGACAATTGAAAGTATAGTGTAAAAAAAGAACTAGGAAAGTGAAATTTGAAAAGAAAAAAAACGTTGAGAAAAGTATTTGGTTTATATATGTTTTATATGATACATATATGCCTCACACCACAAAAGACAAGGGGTGAAGTACATAAAGTAGTGTAATGTATTAATGTGCTGTTGTAGTGTCAATGGAAAATTGTGGTTTATTGTGTTAGTAATGGGTTTTTGTGTTTGATTTGTAGAGAGAAAAAAATAAGAAAAGCAATTATTACCACACATCACGTGCAATTGGCTTTTTTCAATTGTAGTTAGCTTTTTATTAATGCTTTTTATATATATATATATTATTAAACAAAATTAATTATATCAATAGACTACCCTTTTATTGATTTTTAATTAACTAAATATAAACTATTCTTTGGAAATTAATTAATTTATGATCCCCACTACCATCAACACAACACAACTCCACACTAGTACTACAGTGTACAGAATACCTGATAATAAACAGTAAATGTATATTTCATTCCTACATTTACATACTTACTTACACAGACTCAATCACAATCACAATCACAATCACAATCACACTAATACACACGTTTCTCCTTTATTAACCCTTTTATTTTATTTTTTGTTTTTTTTTGCAACAATTGTCAAAATGATTCGTAACCTTTGCAACCTAACAACATACGGTATTGTTTCAGTAATTATCTTGAAGTAACCAGTTTTTGAAACCTCTTTCACCACATGTAGTATCGGCGTTGGTATTGCTAGTATAGTCATACAAGAGGCCTCATTCTTACAGTACAGATTTCTCATTGTGAGTGAGCTGACATCTAATGGTTAGCGGATCACACACTACTGGTGTGCTTTGGCACTATGTTCAATTCGTAAATCTATAATTCATTGTCATCAGAGTCATCAATATATACACCAAAATCATTCAAACCTTCTCCCATGTCATTATGCCAGGAACTTCTATTAGCATTGTATCTTGGATCCAACTGTTTCTTTAATTGAGAATAGTTGGTTATGCCTCTCAACTCATCATCGCTAGGAGTTGGAATTGTAATGTTTTGATTCCCACCATCAGGTGGCCAAGGAAGTCCCAACTGATCGTCTTCCTTATAATCCAGCGAAGGCTCAATATTGAAACCATCATTATTTGGTTTGGCCCATGGTACTAACCACATGAATGGTGAGCCCAAAAAGTACTTGATGTTGCCCCAAATCCCGTAATCGTATGGAAATATTAAGTCATCTATGGTGAAATTACTTGGCACGAGTTCCTCTTCATCTAGCTCTTGTTCAACTTCTCTTTGTTCTAACATGTCATCAGATGATCGTGATTCTTCTTCATCATCCATTTCCAAAGAGTTACGGATCTGAGAACCATCCAGTTCATTATTGTCATCGTTTCTAATTTCTTCCATGGAAAATTCTTCTTTATCAATCGGACTTATATTAGTCCATGTACTCAATTGTGGCAACTGTTTTCCATATAACTGCTCATAATTCAACCTAATTGACTTCCAAAGTCTTTTGCTGTGAAATTGACTATCAATTCTATCCCATTCCCAAATCTCAATTTGAGTCATACCTTTACAAATATTGATCAAACACCTAATGAATAACAAAGAAATACTCAACAAGACAAACAAGTCAACCGGGGTAAAGACAATAACGGCAATCAATTCTGATCGTTTTATAAGGTAAATTGGTTTATCCAGGTCATTATAATATGCCACTATACGTTCACACAATTGCACAAACAAATAACCGGTCCCCACCATGACCCAAAATAAAAACCTCATAAACTGGGGGAGGTTATTGGCTCCAACACAATTAAGGGTCCAGGGACAGTGATGGTCCATTGCCATCACGCAAGTCTTGCATTTGGAGCAATGGTGTGTTCTGGGTGGTTTGTAACTTTGGCATTTGGTACAGTACCGTTTCCACTCGCCTTTTTTCGGTGTATAGTCTTTTGGTGGTCTCCCAGGACTGGCATATATTGCCAAAGCATAAGAAATCCAGATCATGGAAGCTAAACATTCATAAATGATTTGCTGTGTGGTTGACAAATGATTACGAAGGATGAAGTAATGCGAACCATAGGCAGTAAAACCTATGATTGCCACAGGTATTATCACACCCAATAAGGGCCATCTTAACTCAAGCATCATCTATATGTGGAAACAGGAAGAAGAATAAACTCAGAATGAGTTGATAACGATAGGATAACGGTGGGATAAGAGCAGCTACCCTAGCGTCGTGTACTGCGTATCATTTTTTTTTTTATTCCACCAGACAAAACCAGTGTGTGAATTTAATTTAGTGGCAAAACTAAATATCACATTTGAGTGTAAACCATTTACTTTACACCACAATTGATAAGAAGATACAATGGTATGTTTGTGAATTACAGCCTTTTGTACCAGGGACTAAGTTACTAACTCATCTATTAGACGTCAATTGGTACAGGATACGATTTGTCAAACAGTGTTTTCTCTCCAGGTATGTTGAGTTTTCATTTTCGAAAAAAGAAAACCCAGCTTTATGTTACTAACTATAGAACCATTTAGATGGAAGGAATTTTCAAGTAGAATATGCCATGAAGGCAGTAGAGAATGGAGGAACTTCTATTGGTATCAAATGCAAAGATGGCGTTGTGTTAGCCGTTGAAAAAATCATCAACTCCAAGTTATTGGTTCCTGGCAAGAATAAAAGAATCCAGACGGTAGATCGCCATATTGGAGTGGTTTACTCGGGATTACTACCAGACGGTCGCCACTTTGTCAATAGATCCCGAGATGAGGCCCAGTCATTCAAGTCGATATACAAGATTCCAATGCCGGTTCCAAACCTAATGGATAGAATGGGAATATACGTGCAAAATTACACTTGTTACAACTCCGTTAGACCATTTGGTGTGGTTTCTATAGTAGGCGGTGTTGATGATGATGGTCCACATTTGTACATGATTGAACCAAGTGGTACCTGTTGGGGATACAGTGGAGCCGCTACAGGAAAAGGTCGTCAAATTGCCAAGTCAGAGTTGGAAAAATTAAACTTTGAAGAGTTGACATGTAAGGAGGCGGTCAAGATTGCAGCAAAGATTATTCATTTGGCACATGAGGATAACAAGGATAAGGATTATGAATTGGAGATTTCATGGGTGAGTAAAGAACATACGGGTGGAAAGCATCAGTTTATACCAGAAAACGTCTTGGCAGAGGTGAGAAAACAAGCCGAAGAGGAAGATGACGAAGAGGAAGAAGAGGAAGAAGGAGGAGAAGAAAATAAGGACGAAGAAATGGAAACTTGATGACAGGAGACAGACTATATAGTTGGAGGTTAGAGTCAAGCTTAGTAAGAAAATCATTTAATCAATGGTGAAACTGTCTTTTGCTCTCGCATGACTTTCGACATCACCAGCGCATGTGATCAGTCATTGGTAAAGTCGGAGTAATTAAAGTTGCACATTAGACGAATACTCAAGAGCAACCTTTTAACACTCTCGGTAGGTATACGTAGCCGCCAACTCATCAACTCTCTTACTTTCGTTACTTTAAAGCACCTCCTGCATATAAGTGTCAAAAAGTAATAAAAAAAGTAAATGTAAACAAAGGAACACGAATCAAATCTGAAACCAATCTACGCGAGTCGGTGTGGTCACTTGCATTCCCTTCGTAACTATAATGTCCCCAGGTGATCTAGTACAAGAATCAGCAAATACTGGTGATGGCGAATTGATGGATTCGAATGTCACCCAAGAAAATAATGTCGACCTTGAGCTACGGCTGGTATCAGGCACCGAATCCCCAATACAATCACCGCGATACCACGATACATCAAGTCCGTTCATAGATCACCCACAATCCCCCAATGGAAAGCCCAATAATACTGTCAACAATAGAGACTCCAACATCAGGAACGCATGTGAAGTTGTTAGTCCCCAGCAGCATATGTCGAAAGGAGGAAGCCGGCTTGGTAATGAAATCGAGAAGCACTCACCGGTGAAGCACGATTCCTTTGTCGATAATTCACTTGATGGAAGCCACCTCACTCAGACCCCAATAAAGCTAAAAAATCATAACGTGTCGCCATGGAGACAATTCCGGCCTCCGAGCAATGTGTCAGCATTAACGAGTTCAGCTTCAATTCTTAACAACAAGCCGGATTTGAAATATTCCAGCACTAATCATAGATCGGCCGATTCCGAAACAAATACTCACTCTGAAAACGAAGAACTAAATAACCAACTAATTCACTACAAGATCAAGCTTAAATTGATGAGAGACTTTTTACGAGATCTTATTGACAAGAAAAGTATCGATACCAGCGAAATCCAACTGATAATAGCAGACGTAGATATCAAACCTAGTCAGCTGCTGCTAGAGAAACAGATTGTCCAACTTCAGGCCGATAAGAAGGAGTCACTTGAAATCATGGAGGAATTGCAAGCAAATCTTGAAGATTTTGAACGTTGTATTAAAGACCAGCAAATCGAACTAACAGAGTTGAAAGACGTGTTAGAAAAATGCAAGGATCTGGTTGGGGAATTTGTAATGTATGTGCAGAAAGAAGAGGACTTGAAAGCTTGGAGAAAGGATACTTTCCAGCAACTGCCATTTAAACCACTTGAGGAACAAGTGGGGGATCTTATTCAGTTTACAAAAGATATGATTAAAATTTCCATAAATAATGAGGTCAAACTAGATAACGGAACAACGCCACTTACTCCTCCTGCGTCAAATTATGACATGGATAATACAGTGGATTTGGTTAAAGAAATCGAAGAACTACGAAGGGAGAAAAGAGAACTTGCGGAAAAAAATACAACAATAGCCAAAGAACTAAGCAATAAAATCCAGGAGGTCCAAGGATTGCACGAAAAACTCGAAGCGACAACAGAATTGAACGTACAGTTAGAGCAATCCCTTGAACTTGAGAGAAATGAAAGTGCTGAAAAGGTGTCACATTTGCAGACGGTAATCGAAGAACTCAAAAACGATTTGAAGAGTACAAATGATCGCGGTGCACTGCATGATATCGAAGAAGTGCCATTATCTATCCATTACGAGAGCTTGGTTGCCGAACATCAAGACCTTCAAAGTGCATATGCGTCGCTTCTAAACGAGTTAAGTCAGCTTCGTGAAGCTCCTGCTGCTCATGAGCAGCCAGTGGGAATGGAGAAGGTGGAACAACATAGCTCCAATCTGGAAACAACATACCTCAGTGACCAAGCAAACAAAGTTTCAGAACTCCAAGCCGAACTTAACCAAGCCTTGAAGCAACAACAAATGCTGAATTCAGAACAAGCACGGATGTCCTACATAAATGCCAATCTCAAAAGGGAGAACGAGGAACTACAGTCCAAGTTGAAACAAATGGCTGAATTTGTTACGTTTGCTACCACTGACGAAAAAGAGCGAGTGATGAAAAAGTTGTCGGTGATGGAATTTCAGTTTAAGGATTTGTTAAAGTTTGACTTGGGTGAATTTCAAAGATTGATACAGTCATTCAACAAAATAGCTGAGGATGAATCCTTACTCAACCCTATCAAGAAGTACGAAAAGATCAAAAAAGCTCTTGCCGGTGATGTTGATGAGAGTAGTACCCGGATTGTTAGAGAAAATCACAAGTCAGTTTTTGATTATTTTGTTAGGGCAACGGATATATTGATAAACAATTATGTGAGGTTATTGCTTGCAGAGGACGAGAGTCATGCGAATGAAACCTGGAAGAAGCAGGTCACAAAGCTCAAGGAGCAAAACTCGTTGTTGAAGAATGAATTGGAGCTACTTCAGAAGAAGATACAAGGGTCGGCCACCGCAGAGTCACCAACGTCAAAATTGAGGTTAAATGACATCAGACAAAAGTGGAAGGCCGAGAGGGAAAGGAGGATAATGGAAGAAAAAGAGGCAAATAAGCGATACAATGATTTAAAGAACGACATCCTAAAAACTATGCCGGCTTAGTTGAAGATGCCCACCAGATGTGGAGATAATTGCAACATACCTTCTCCTTTGATGGTTAGTCAAATAGCTTTAATAGAAGTGAAATAGTATGTCGAGAAAGATCCCTACTTTATAGTTACGTTGTAAAGTGAAAAGAATGTTCAAACTTCGCGGCTTGGTTTCGCTTTTCAAGCCACAATCTTTTTACAATTCTCAAGGCACCATCATCGCACAACTTCATTCATCTCAGCACAAGTCAGCACAAGTCAGCACAACATAGCAGAACCATGGCAACCCCATCATCTAGTGACTACATCAACAAAGTCAAAACATTGATATCGCAACATCCGTATTTGATGCTTTCAAAGTCTTGGTGTCCTGATTGTCATTATGTCTACAATTTGTTCAAACAAGAAGGGATATACGACAAGTTATACATCATTGAATTGGATCAACTCCAAGATCAGGATGAGGCAACGTCCTTGGAAAATGCATTTACTGAAATTGTGGGGAAGAAATGGGTGCCACTGTTGTTTTTCCAAGGAAGGTACTGGGGAAACGAACAAGATTTAAAAAACTTGCGAAAACAAGGAGAGTTAGAATCAGAGTTTAAGAAGCTAAAATTGCTTTGAATAGACTGCTGAGTCTTTGTTATCGTCTGGTTATTATGCACCTTTGATAGCTTATAATTTAGAAATGTATATTCAAGTATATCGCACCTTACAGATAATTGTAGCTATCTAGACCAATACAACTGTTTCCAGGTACAAGCATTCACCAAATTTTTATTCAAGAAGACCCTCATTAATGTACACGGATCATAGCTGGCTTAGCCAAGACTTTTGAAGGGGCCCTATATGAAAAGTTAGGAACAATAAATTGTTCTCCAAACATAAACCACCTAAGAGTCCATGGACGCTAATTTCATTGCATCCTGATAGTCTTCGAATGCTCACAATTTTTGCTACGTCCTCTCTCAGAATGTGATCCAATTCTATATATCAGATAGTACATCATCAATGGCATTAAAAAATGGAATTATCTACGGGTGTGTCTTGAAATAATTTGTTACGACAATGATTGTTTGCGACTTTGGTTTTTGCTTTCAACAAAGATTAAAAGAGGGATAAATTTTGTTGCAAAAAATTATACAGAACA